GGGTATAGGCTATATTCAGCTGCCATTCTGGACCCATGTAGTCAACAATTTTGGACAATTCTACGTCACCATTCATTGGTCAATCGTTAACCATGGTAGTTTCCTTTTCACTTGACTAGCGACCTGGGCGATTCACAAGGAAACTAGGCCATCCGTATACACAAGTTCGTGTGCAACGGCTACCAAGTGTTTTGCTTGAAGGATAGGTGATAGTTTAGTCAGACAATTGTACCATACGCAAAATACAAAACACCCAGCGCCCTAAATCGTTGTAGAGCATTGGAGTTAATGGTACGCAGTTGCAAGCGTGTGTACTTAAACATTTATAGGGACGAGAAAATTGTTGGACGATGTGTTTAAAACTACCATGTTCACGGTTGAACATTCACTTAACGCCCGTCCGCTTGCTTCCGTCTCTGATAACTATGAGTCCTGATGCTACAACGCCTGATCATTTTTTAACAAGCCAACAAAATTTGAGTCGTTGAGTTCATCGTTGAGTTCGAAAGAAAACGAAACCTCGTGACTGAGCTAAGTCAAACGCTAAAGCAATTTGGCACCGATAGTTAAGTGAGAAAAAACCTACGCTCAATAAACTAAATAAAAGGCACACAGCTTCCAAAGATAAAACGGAGACTTAGTAAGGCTAGTGTAATCGACTAATATTGGGGGCTACTACCCACTAACTCGCTTAAATACGGAGAAGAGAACGACGCCTTTTCCGATAAATTTAAGACCGTCTCCAGTAACTTAATCCGACCGCTTCTCAAACTTGGTGCGACTTTCTCACAAGTGAGATGGGGCGAACAAAAACTGCTTTTATCAATGAAAACAAATCATAAAGAAAATAAAATGTGACGAAATTATATGCACCATAACTTAGCGTATACGCAAAACATTCCGATTCAATTGTTTGAATCTAACCTGGGTAACATTATCTACTTATCAAATAAACGCCAGCAAATGTCAATGATTGTCACCCTAAATATTGGTTGCAATGCATTTAGCTTGGATTGAGATTTGTATTTTTGTCATTAAGTCATTAAGTAAACTAAACATAATTTAAACCGATATCAATCTATCCGATATCTTGGTTGAGTTCCATACGAAAATGTTTGGAACAAAATATTAGAGTCTATGGAAAAAAACTAAACCTACATTTTTCAGTTTCAGTATCAGTAATCGAAAAAACATCATTTTTTCTAAACAACAAATAACTAAATTACATCGACTGCGGTTTTTACTGAACTAGACCATTTTGTTAGTCGAAACTTGAGTTTTTCCCAACAAAAAAATGTTACGAATTTTGTTTATTAGAAGTGTATGGTTAACAATTTTTCTAATAACACCTGACAAAAGAGAGGAAAAATTATCAAAGCTAGTTTTAGTCACTAAATTCTGGTGCCTTTGGAGCCTATTACTTACTTTTTTTCTAAAGAAGCGACAAAAATCATTATGAAAGTGTTCTGTGAAGACAAGATTTATGTTTTTGTTAAATTACAATTTGATAACTTTTTGTGCATTCATTTTGCAATTTTTGTTTCTCAGGTTTAGGAAAAAAACTTGAAAGCTTAAGGCGATTAAAAAATTTTCAAATAAATTTATTATTCGAAAGTATGTTATTCATACAATTCAATTAGTGGAAAGAATGCTAGTCGTGTTATTTATAGAAACAGAAGAGTGTGTGTTTTTGTTTTTATGCGGAAATTGAGACATGATAACTTCAACTATTGAACTTCAGAGTAATTGTAGACATCATGAAACCGTGATTATGGGAAACAATATAAGATATAGTGTCGTGCCCGGGCTAGTTCGTGCCCCGGATGGCAAGAATTGCTGTTTTAGATTTTTCCTCATAAGAATCTTACTTCTTACAGAATTTTTCTCTAATGATGTTACAAAAGCAGGGAACTTTTTAGCATAGAGATTTGAAATAGTGCACATTGTTACAAGTTGTAGGACAGGCAACTTTTCACAGAAAAACCTCAATTTTTTTTTAATTTTTTTAAATTCATGATAACCAGAAAGAAAAAATCTTGCTGTTGCAGTGTACTACAACCGAATCTCATAGACCATTATTAACAACTCTCAGCGTGAGCTGCACAAAGGAAATGCAAAATTTTTGAACATTTGTTTATTAGTTACTTGAATTTTCTTGAAAGTATATCTGACAAAGCATCCGAAGCAATATGACATCAATCATCACAATTGATGTTTTAATGTCCTCAAAAAAACTGATTTTCAAGCAATAATTTCCATCAAGAACTACGGCATAGTAACATGTTCAATGTGTTGTACTTGCAGATTTTTGTTGATTTTTTGGTAAAAAGTTATCCCAGAACTTTGTATGCGAAAAATTGTGAGAAAAGGAACACTACCCAAAAATAATATAAGAATCAATTGAATTTTTTGTTCCTATTTTTGACTTCTTAAGCAAGCTTTTTTGACATAGAGTTTCTTGACCATCTGAAAAACATTGTAGTTCAGAAGCTAAAATGAAAGAAAAATTTACCTGTGATCATTATTCGTATTAAGGGCTCTTTTTCCTTTTCCCCCCACCTACGAACTTTCATATTTGAAGTTTCATTTCATTTTGTCCAATTAACATAAAAATTGACATGCAGACTGATTAGGCCATAAAAAACATATTTGGTCTTCATAACTAACCTTGTAAAACCACTCGTTGGACCATAAACTTCATGTTTGAGTGAGGTGGGGGGGAAGGAAAAAGAGCCGTATTAAGTTATTGTGGTTTGAAACCTTAAAACTTGTTCAAATTGGGATAAGTAAGGCTCGATATTTTGCGTTCATGCGTAAGCGGTGGGTTAAATTGTACAAATTTGAGTTGTTGCAGTACATCTTTTTTACTTTTTATAGCTTGTGGGGAAAATGAAAAACAAATTAATTTCAAAAAACATAAAATTCGCTTGTTTTTGATTCTTTTCAATTTTTCAACCAAAGAATTTTTATTGGCCTTAAAATGCCTTCAGAACATTGAGTTCTCAGCTACAACATAAGATCAGTCAAGTTGGATTACATCTTGCTGTTACAACAAGTTTAAAAATAGTATTTTGATCACATGATTTCGTTTGTTTAGAAAAAAAACACGTGAAAAAATACTTCAAATAACGTCAAAAAACCGTGACCAGGCGGCTTCAAATGGGGGTGTTCAACAGTGACGAAGTACAACTGACGAAAATGAACAAGTGTTCAGCAGTGCCGCAAATTGATGATTTTCGGCACTGTTTAGCAGTACCTTAGTTTTGTGCTGTACTTCTGGACTGTTGAACGCCTCCCCGGGTTGACCTCCATAGACCAAAACGGCTAATCATAGAATTTCATACACTTAGTCTATGGAAAAATGCTAGTCATAAGAATTTCATACATTTTTGCAAAATGAGTTTAATCGAATTTCAAAGGTATTTTATAGTTGTTTTGGTATCGAAATTGGTATCTCTTCATAAAAGAAGGAAAAAAACGATATGAAAAAAAATGCGGCTCTTTTTCCTCTCCCCCCCCCACCTCACATAATCATTAATTTTATGTTGTAACGAGGCGTTTTACAAGGTTATACATGAAGACCAAATATGTTTGTCATGGCCTAATAAGTTAGCATGCCAATTTTTGTAACATTCTGAGAACGTGAACAAGATTTCACTAGTAAATTTTTGCAGGTGGGGGGGAAAAAGAAAAAGAGCCAAAAATGCTAACCATACAATTTCCATATATGGAAATTGCATGATTAGAATTTTTTTAAATTTTTTTTGTGAAAAAAAAGCTTTGATAAATCAATTCAACTGCTGGCAAAACATTTAAGCGTTTTTTGGGCTGCTACGACTGAAAACTTTGACTTTTTTTTATTTTTGTTTTCTGAAATTGGAACGTCAAACAATGGAAATTGTTTGACTAGCATTTTTTTGATGGCGACGACAAAAAGTACTTTTGCAATTGCCCCCAAAAATGTTTGTTTTTTTTTTCAACCGCAAATTGATTTTCGTATTCAAACAAACATTTTTTGAAAAAAAATTTTGCATGCAAAATTTATTTTTTTTGTGTGTATAACGTAGTCCTGGTTATACTAAAATTGGATTTTTTTCCTTTTCTCTTCATAACTTTTTTCAAAAACGCTTTAAACTCCTCTTTTTTTTGTATGACATGTTTTTGTATGCCTTGATCAATGTCTGGTAATTTAAAAACTCTAATTCTAGAAACAATCATCTTTAAAAATTATTGCCAAAATTTAAAAGTTCATTACTTTCGTTATTTATTTGTCTGAGACAGAAGTAACACATATCAGGCTGTTTCCAATGCGTTTTTAATGCGAGACGGTCAAACCGTTGGTTACTACGTTTGAGTAATCAAGGTTTATGTCATTTGTGTTCAGTTACGAACACAATCAAAAAAAATTGAGAAATTAAAAAGTAAAAAATCAAAATTTTTGGTTTATGGAAAAATGCTAGTCATACAATTTCCATATATGAAAAAATACTAATCATAGACCTTTCATGCAATTTTCTGTACGTATGGAATTGTATGGAAAGTGTATGACTAGCATTTTTCCATATATGGAAATTGTATGACTAGTACTTTTGGTCATCTCGGGTCTCTAAACGGCACTGTTGAGCACTTTTCGGCACTGTTTTCTCTTTGGCACTGCTGTACTGCCCCCTTCAAATTCATAATTCGTTTTTTATGACTGACAAAAGAAGCTTGCATCACAGTACTTTTTATAAATAACCACGTATGGCATGAGAATAAAGTGTGTTCATGGCGATAGAATGACGACAGAAATAAATGGGGGTGGTATAAACCAGCAGAAGTATAAGCCAGCCGAAAATGCGCAATTATTGCAAAACAGTTGTGAAGCAATTGCGTAACAATTATGACAGTCATGCAATTTGATGCCAGTGACGTAATTTGGAGCTAGTTCATCTACTCTTGACGTAACTTTTGAATAGTTTATTAAGTCTGCTGCTCAATTTCGGCTAGCTTATAATTCGGCTAGTTATATTCCCACTTTATAGGCTAGCGCAGGTCATATAAATGCGTAGAATCTAATTATAACTATAACATCGCAAAACATAAATCGTTAATCCATATTTTTTATCCAAGACATGTCTAAACTCAACATATGTGCAAAATTTTAACCTTGCATCGTACATTAACATGATGTCCGTTTTAATCTATAAATTGATATCTTCCATAACTAAACATTGTGTGTCTGATCCACCTGTAGAAATGAGGCACACTCGTAAACAAACTCCCCCCATCGCAATCATCATCTGAACGATAGCTTTTCTTTTTGAATTGCGTCGCTACTCCATACAAACATTGCGGAATGTTCGTTCCACATTTGAACGTATAAAGCGGCCCTCCTATATCTTTATGACAAATATTAGCTCCGGCTGAAACTCTGTTTGTACAAACCAAAGAGTCCGGACACTTTTTCAACCTATCCAGCCTGAAGGGGGATATAGGCTCGGATAGCTTTGACTCCAGGAAATGGGCTTCCCAAATAGAGTGTGGGTACAGCGGTGATTTCCCGGAAGTTGAGCCCATCCCGACGGTGCCAAGACGCGTCCCATGGTCTTCGCTATACCTGCAAGGATAGATTAGCTCTATTTGGGTCGTGGTGGGTTCCTCTAATTGTAATAATGCAATACTGTGTTCCGGTCGCACTTCGTAGTAACGGCTTAAAATAATATAAAAAATTTAAACATTTGGTCAGAACTTGAAGTTCTTTGAAAATTCTAAAAATGAACAACCAATTAGCTACGTATAACTACAACCGATCAGGTTCGAGCATTTCTTTCCTATTTTCAATATTTCAGATTCGATCATTTGGGCGGAATAATTGAAAATACCCAATAAAGATAACAAATTACTAGAGGGCAGAAAAAACTATTTAAACTTCTTGTTACGTATAAGCTATTCAAATAGATTTGCAGCTATAATGGTTTTCTGTCTATTGGAACCAGATCTAAACTAGTATTTATCATTGATTATTATTATGATATTTCATCTCTATAAAATATTATATAATAACCAATCAAACTCCATCAAACTAACAACCCACTTATTTGTAAGTGTTGAAACTACTTGTAGTTTCAACACCAGAGCAATTTGAATTAAACTTAGAATACAGTTGTTCTCATTCTGGAACTAACTCGCATAAGCCAGTATACTCTAGATCTATTGAGCCTAGCAGAGACTAGTTAAACACCCTGAGACTAGTAGATATAAGAGTAAGATTAGGATCGGTATTAGACTAAGAAGTTGCACGAATCTATCCGGCCGAAAACAAGATAGCGTGACGAGCAGACGGTGTACTCTATCCAAAATTACTCTATGAGTTAGAGACACATCCTAACTCATCTGGTGCGACCAAAAAGTCTCGAACAGACCTTAACTAACCTAGATTTAGAAAAAATAGATTAGAATTATACAAATACAACATTTAAAAAAAAATGTTAAGTGACAAAAATTTAGTAGAAATGTTTCCACGACTCAATAGATCAGAGCCAATTTTCCGAACAATACGAGAACTATCCAGTATTGGAAGAAGACCTCGGACAAGAGACGATCTACGACTACAAAGAAACTTACCTTTAAGTTTCATGGTCGTACGGCAAAAGCCAACACAAACTTTTATATTTAGAATACTTCCAGCAGTAAATTCAAATTTTCATTTACTGACATATTATTTGAAGAATTATCTTCAATAAACTTTCATCGCGCTAAACCTATTAATTATACAACAACGACTGATAAAAACAACACTTATCGTTTTCCTTAAATCAGCTGTAAATCAAATAGCATCTTGAAAAAAAATTTATTGAATATAAAAAACAAAAATTAGTTAGTATAAAGCATAACTGTTAGTATATATAAATCATCCTTTCATCCCAGCTTTATCACCTAAAACTTAACAGCACATCTCAAAAAATTAACATCATCCAAACTAAACATTTAACCTTTTCTTCATTTAAACCTTTACCTAAAAGTTATCAAGGCTTATCCTTGTTTTCACTTAAATTAAATTTACTTAAAATAACAGATCATCAAGGCTTCCCTTGGATCTTTAAAATAATTTCACTTAAATTAAAATAAATTAACTTTATCTAAATATTCTGATCATCGAGGCTTCCCTTGGATCTTTAACTTAATTTCACTTAAATTAAAACAAATTATCTTTATCTAAATATTCAGATCATCAAGGCTTTCCTTGGATCTTTGATTCACCTTTATCTCAGTTAAATTTCATTTCATTAATTTTATCTGCTGATCATCAAGGCTTATCCTTGCATCTAATAGAACAGTTTTGTTCTCCCCCACACATTTAGTAAATTGTCTAACGACCTCAAACGTCAATTCACTACCCAACCTTTCCTGAAGACCCAGGACTAATAGAAATTTTTCAATCAAACTAACCATTCTAATTAGGATAAACAGTGAAGAACTTCGGTTATTCATACTTCACTTGACCCCCCCCCCTCTTACTTGACCCAGGATAATACTTAAACTTAATAAATTTAAAATAGTATCTAACGAACTACTTGTGTTCTAATTATACCTGAACCTTCTGGATCGATTTACTATTCTCCAACCCTTGAACACAATCGCTACCCCTAAGTAAGATTAAGTAAGTTAACACCTTAACTTAGACTAGCCACGAGAAAATAAAAATCATTCTTCGGAATCGATATACGCTTTTCTCTCCAACCCAACAATACGACCCAAGTTGATGCTAACCACAAAAAATTGTAAGAACTAGCAGTTTAAGACATTGGAAATCATTAACCGAAATATTGCATCCATCATCCTAAACCTTATGTCAAGAGACAGTTTAGGAAACAATTAAACAATGATAATACACAATTGTTTAATTAACGACGAAAAATACGATCTCGTAATCACACCACACAGACAAACAATAGGATACATACGAACAAAAAATCAATATTCTAAGAAAATTGGGCCCTAGAGATGACTATTGGCTATGCCTAGGATAAAAAATTAGATGAATACATTTTAAATTGCGCTAGGGAAAATTTTTTTAAAGATTTCAATATAATGAAAAACAAAGAAAATGCAAAGTGAAAAAAATTGTATGATAACAGATTGTAGGAGCGTAGCAGTACTTTGCACCCCGATAAACACGCACTGCAACCTCCACCGAATAAATGGACTCCTATTTAGTATTAAGCAAGGATTGCTTAACATGCCAATCAAACAAAATTGCACAAGTTTATTGTCAACCCAGGTTAGAATCAATATGTCTAATTATAGAATCAACAAAATTTTAATTCCCAAAAAATTCCCGATTTACCCCAGCTAAAAATTTAAAAGTCGTAACATATGTTTTAATTCCAAATTTTACAACACAAAAAAGGAATTTTTAAAAAATAACAACCACTCCGAAGAGGACCGTATCAAATAATTGATAAACCCACTGATGTAACATACAAACTCATAGGCTTAAACAAAAAAAATCGCTCAACATCGAAACAATCTTTTACCTTATTACCCAAAAGAGTACGCAATTCGAGAACTTACTCAACTATACTCTTTCACAGGATTTAAAGATATTCAAAATAGCTCAGAACAACATCAAAATCAAAGCACTGATATGTACCCCATCCAAAAACAGTTAGATAAAAATGACAAAGAATCTCCCAAACAAATATCAAAAAACTTAGACAACAAAAAAAATCACTCAAACAAAAAGAAAAAATCAAAAATTAGAAGAAAAAATTATACCACAAGATCAAAAAGAAAAATCTCCACATAGACAATCATCGCGACTTCGTAATCAGCCACGAAAGGAATACAAAACACTCATCCCGCAATCTAAAAGATTAAAGAACGTTTAATTTCAAAACCACTTTAAATCAATTAACATTTTCACCTCTTGAAGATATTTTCATGGACCGAACATTTTCTCAAAATTCATGCTGGAAAGCACTTGAACAAACTAGTTCAATTTAAGCCAATAAGAACCTTTCCGAATCATCACCTCATTTTTGACACGGCTTCTTTAGCCGACAAATAATAACCTTCAAGCGTATCTGTATCTATAACTTTAAGACCTCCAGGTCAAAAATAAGCAACCCGCTCAAATTTGACAACTGAAATAAACAAAACCTCAAAATTGCGACCCTCTCCTATCAACTAGAACAAAAATTAACAATATTGTCTCAGCTTAGACCTCGAAATACCCTCAAGCAAAAATATTAAATTAGCCTAAAGAACAAAATCGACATGATCATTTAGCCTAAAGTACAATTAATTCTCAAATACCCCCGATCATCCAATAAAAAAAAATAAAACTAGGAAGTCCTTTAATAGCCCTCCAAACTTCCCCTCACAAAAAATTGCTTAAACCCAACCTACTTGTCAAAAAACCAATAAATAACCAGAACACACTCGAATTGCTTTGGCCACTTCTCCAAACTAAATACATCATTCGCTTTTTAGCTAAACTAATAACATCATCAGAAATAATCCACGACGTTTTTCCCCATGGATTCTTCCTCGACGAATAAGGTAAGTTCGAATTAAATAAATTATTCTAACAAATTTGAAACAAAACTAACCATTCTTAAAAAATGTTTTATCTTTTTCTTTAGTCTTCACAGGCACGATAATCAATCATCTACAAAAGAGAAAAACGAAAAAAAACAGAAAACTTTTTGTAGAAAATAAATTTAGATTAACCAATTACAATAAATGAAGCAGTGAAATTGACCCTTCACTAATTTGATAATATGAACTCTTTTCCCATATGCAGTAAATACTCGCAAAATGAAAATAAATTGATAATTTCAACCCCCCAAATAAAGCTGTAAAATTATTAATTTCAAAGTAGTAAATTATTAAAAGTGCCTATTAATTTCAAGCATTACTAAACTTTTCTAAGACAGTTCTTTGTAGTTTCAATTATTCACTCGCACACAACCCTATCCACAATCGCACAGATCGCCCACGAAGAATTGTTTAAAATAATGAATTTAACTTTTAACTTTCACTGATAACAACTCCAACCAGTTTTTACACATTTCAAACTTTCCTTTAACCCGGTTGGAAAGGAATTATATAATAGTCCAAACTAACCAACGCAAGCTTACTAAACAGCACAAACCACAACCTAGCATCATGACTTAGAAAAGAAAACGCACGGTACCCAAACCGGATTAAAACAAGCTTAGAACTGGAAAAATTATTCTCTCAAAGTTAACGGAACTAAATATGTAATTTATAATATGTAGTACATAAATAATACACAACAACAAAAACGAGCATCCAAAGACTAGACGACCCCATCACACTCGACCTACAGAATGGCTAAACACAACCGATATGCCGCTCACAATCACGACTCAAACGGATTTAAAGTACGACTTGGCATCGCAGCAAAGGAAACCCATTGCAACAGAACAATGGCCATCTCGATGTTCAAGTATACGTGCAGATCCAAGTCACCAGGCACTGCATCCAAAGTCGAACTACACGACACTCTCGATTGTGATTAGACCATTCCTATTCTCTAAAATCAACCAGATCAACACTCATCACAATCGATCAGAACACATAACACGATCTCCCGAAACTACCGTGATACATCTCTTCTTCCAAACCAGAAAAAAGGTTATGCTCGCAAACTCTAAAGAAAAACACCATCTTCCATCCTACGCTACAATAAGAACATTGAAAAACTAAAACTCTCTAAACCCCGGATGGGTGGAACCAGATCTAAACTAGTATTTATCATTGATTATTATTATGATATTTCATCTCTATAAATTGTTATATACTAACCAATCATACTCCATCAAACTAACAACCCACTTATTTGTAAGTGTTGAAACTACTTGTAGTTTCAACACCAGAGCAATTTGAATTAAACTTAGAATACAGTTGTTCTCATTCTGGAACTAACTCGCATAAGCCAGTATACTCTAGATCTATTGAGCCTAGCAGAGACTAGTTAAACAACCTGAGACTAGTAGATATAAGAGTAAGATTAGGATCGGTATTAGACTAAGAAGTTGCACGAATCTATCCGGCCGAAAATAAGATAGCGTGGTGAGCAGACGGTGTACCCTATCCGAAATTACTCTATGAGTTAAAGACACATCCTAACACACTATAATCCTAAGTTTCAACAAAAAGCTCCTTGTAAAGGCAAGTTATATAAAGGTTCTTATCCTTGCGATCTTCAGTACGGGACTTAAATTCGTTCTGTACTGATCAAGTTTCCACATCAAGTTTTCGACAACTAACTGATCAAGTTTTTGTTTAGGTTTAAACTATATACTGGTAGTATTTGCTATTTTATACGGTCGAAAATTAAGTTAATTTGTGTCAATTGAGCTTGTTTTAATTGAGTTAATTGAGCTTGTTATCTTTGACTTTTCTTCTGTTTCCATATTTTCTTTCGCTGGGGGATATTTCAAACTATTTAAAAAAATCATTTTTGAAGCATAACAACAGAAAGAACCCGGTAATACCAAAGCTATATTAACCTGGGTGCGATAAAAATCCTCCGCACTAAGTGTAGTTTTCGGTCACCCAACATCATTATGAAGTTGCCAATTTCAACTGCAATGTAGTTCTTGGGTTCATCTTAAGCAAAAACGTTCAAAATAAAGTACATGACATGAGCAATTGTTAGAAAGGTGCGCGCAGAAAAATGTGATTGTTTGAACAACATTTTTGACCAATGAGGGTCTTTAAACGTTTTTGGGGGAGCTTGGCCAATCAAACTGGTCCAGCTTAATAAGATCAAAAAAAAATTTTTTCAAACCATTTTTTCAAAAAAATTCTTCCCGAAAAAAAGTAACGTAATTTTGACCACTCACAAAAATCACGCTTTCAAATTAATATTTTTAAAAAAAAATCATATGCGGCCGAGAAAATTTCAGCGTAAGAAAGTTTTATAGGGTTTTGGGAAACTCCGAAATTCAATTTGGTCGACCTCAAACAAAAGGTCTTAGATCTGCACATGTACATCAAACAAATATTTCTATCAAACAACTTGTCTAGACATCTGATCTGTCTAGACGATAGTGCTGCAAATTTTATAGCCAATCCAATAGCAGTTATTTAATCGTAAATGTGAGAGCTGTTTCATGGTATACTGATGCATTATGGTTTATGATGCGTAGACAGTTTGGTTATTCTAATTCTGAACAAGGATTCTTTGGTTGCTGAAATTTTGAGTATAAACAATTCATCGCAAATGCAGATCTGGACATTTATAGAAAACAGATTGATCAAAAACTTTTCAGAGATTGCCTTAACATTGCAAGAAAAAAATGATGTAGCGATAGTTTTATTTCATTATTATACAAAGTTTGTATACTAGAACAAGAGCATAAATATAATAAATTAATCATACTCGATTACAGTTTTGTTCGAAAATGAAAAAAAAAACAAATTTGTTTTTCTTAATTTTTAAATGAAAACTTTGTTTTTCCAAAGAAAGCGACAAATGACGATAATGCTTGAAAAATTAGCTGTTCACGGTTTCTAATGACAATTGATTCAAGATTGAAAGCGCTTTTGAAGAACAGAAATGTATCTTATAGAAAAAGAATAGTTGCTTAACTTGAATTGTAAGAAACTGTTAGGCATCAAATCGAAATCTTACTGCACCGTTCTATTTCAGATCATATCAGACATTAGAGATCGCAAGGTCACGACAGCAGGTCTTCAGACAGAAAGAAACAAATTGATAGCACTTACATAAACTCAAACTGGTCCCTATCTCATTCGGGCAACCACAAACAAATTTTAAATCGTAGATGTAAAATTTATCAACTCATTCTTAAGTACATGTTACTAGTTCAGTATTAGTTTAACTTGAGTTTTCAGGCAGACTTGCCAAACCTCGCCTTAAGGTTTTTTTTCTTCATCATGTTACTTATGTTCTACTCGGTGAATCATTATTCCCCCCATTTTGTCGACTCCTCTCCGTTGTCGCGTCGATTTTCGCGTTGCCTCCTTGCCTTGTTTCCGTTTATTACCGACGGTTTTCGGTGTCCGCTCCTTGTCCGTTCCCGACGGTTCGTTCACTCCACTGCTCGCTGCAATTTTCGCCGATTCGTTCGTTTCGACTGCCCAATCGCTATCCCCATCCTCATCGCTTTCATCCTCGCTGTATTCGACTATTCGATGTTTTTCGGTCTTTTCGCTCGTTCCATATCTTCGTCTTCGCTATACTCAACGACTCGGTTTTTCTTCACTATTTGCGCTTGTTCCATTGCTAATTGATCCTTCTCGGCTTTTCCCTTGTACTTTGTGGGCTTACTCGGACCGGGAGTGCTATTTGTAGGCTTGCTAGGACCTGGGGTGCACGCGTCGCTTCTTTCCTCAATTCGGCTTTCTTCAGCCGCCGATCTAAATGAAACACCACTTCGCCTTAATAGCGACCCTTTTTCCATTTGCACCGTGTGTTTAGTTAATTTTTCAATTTTTAATGGTAAACGTTTATACCTTCTCGGGTCCTTCGGGTCCGTTTTCCCAATCTTTTGGTAGACTGTTGTGGTGCTGGTTTTATGTCTTTTGAGCCATTCTGGTGCATTGGGTAACTCTTGTGCTGCCTTGGGATCCACCATTTCCGTGACCTTGGGGTCCGTCTTGATTAGGTTCTGCTCATCCAAAACCATCTGCTTCTCCCAATCGAGGGTTAGCTCCACATTAGGGAGATTACTCGCCTTGTCTAAACAAGATAACTTCTGGTTAATAACATTGTTCCAATTTAGATTTTTCAATGATGGCTTTTTCGTCGAATTTCGCGGAGCCGTATTCGCTTCTCTTCCATGATAAGCCTCAAATGGCGTTAGCTTAGTCTTAGAATGGGGCACAAAACGTAGCGCGCTGAGCGTATGGGATATCATTAACCCAAACTTATACTTTCTATTTTCCTGGAGATATGTTAGGATGTAGTTTTTTATCGACCCAATAGTCTGTTCGACAATTCCCGTCGCACGATGATCCTTAACCGGAGATTTTATGAGTTCAATACCTCCTTCATAATTACAGAAATTCTGAATTTCATTCGAGAAAAATCCAGTTGCCTGATCCACATGTAATTTCATTGGGTGTCCATGGGTATTTATTTACTTCCTTAGGAGCTTTAATACATTTTTAGACTTGTTACTTGAACAAACATAAGCCGACGGCCAATGCGAAAACGTATCTACTGCTACTATTACATATTTCATCCGACCCTTTACATAATTGACCGGACCTCAGAAATCGAATTGGACCAAATCATTGGGTTCCTTAGGCACATACGTGACCCCTATATCATTCTTTGGAAAAGCTGGTTTAAGATTTTTACCTGCTTCTAAGCAGCTTTTACAATACTTTGCTGTAGCGGCAATGTTTCTGTGCATTAGTGGTATCCATGCATCCTTCGCGGCTGCAAACATCTTATCGCGTCCATGGTGGTTAAAATGCAAACGACTGAGTACTGCTGACGACATATCCTTCGGTATAACCAGCCGGCCATCCATCCATAGGCATTTTTCTCGTACGGCAAAGTCATTGTAATGTTGGACATAAAATTGCCCCAATCTTGTGACAATATCCTTGACTCGTGGGTTTTTATCTCGGATTGCATCGCGGATTGTTTTCAGTATCGGGTCCTTTTCCAGATTGGCTTCTACTAATTTCAAACTCAGGACCTCAGGGTAATCGATTTTTCTTACTACTTTACTGTCGATAGGAACTATTGAGTAAATCCATTTACCATTCTGCACGAGTGTGTAAGATAATCCGGGAAACTGATGGGGAAATGAAATAAAAGTTTTCAACTTTTTCAAATTTGTTTGTTTAATAACAACTTTTTCTGGCGGTATTAATTCGATATCCGAGTCAGAACTTACACTAGGCGGTTGGTTTAATCGATTTAGAACAAAATTAAGGTTTACATCTCCGGAGTGGGTTGAAGTATTAACAATAGCGGAAGTTCGTGGGTCGCTTTTTTCAGATGAATTTATCATTGACATATTTTTAATACTCATATTTTTGATGAATTCCATATTTTTAATTGTACAACTTGAATTTACGTACTGAGAACAACGTCTGATTTTCTTACTTCGGCATTTGCATATTTCCGCCGGTATGCAAATATCTCGATACTGATTGGTTAACCGCCGATTGCATGTAGACACGCCCTCTAGTGAGCGCGTGTGCTCACGGTGAATATTTGCATATTCAGCTTTTCTTTTATTCGCATTGGATAAAATTGGTTTTGTTATAGCGAAACATGACTGATCACCCTTTACCGTCGGTTTTGGCCTAATTTGATTCACTTTCTGACCCCTAGGCTTCATTTGATCCTTAGGTTTCAATGCTTCTTTGATCAATTTTATTTTCGCTACTGTAAAACTTTCATCATCATGACTTGTCTCGGGTGCCTCTGCGGACGGAAACCGAGACAAATAGTCTGCCATTTCCATTTTTGACCCCTGTCTATGTTCAACTGCGAAATCGTACGGTACTAACCGGTCGTACCATCGAGTTAATGGGCTAAAAAACGTTTTGTTTCCTTTTGGGGAAGAATTTAACAATGTAAGCAACGCCTTGTGATCCGATATAACTGTGAAACAACAGCCATATATATAGTTTCGAAAATGTTCCGTAGCCCACACTACCGCGAGTAGTTCTAATTCATTTGTAGAATACTTTTTCTCGGCCGGATTAAGGTACCTTGACGCGAATGAAATCGGGTGCCACCCGGAGGCGCTGTAATGTTCTAACACGGCCCCTAGGCCATCATGACTAGCATCGCAGATAATCCTTGTTTCACGGTGAATGTCGAAATATCTAAGTTCCACAATGTTTTTCACAAGCGATTTTAATTGTTGAAACGCATTTTCGCAATTAGGCGTCCAGACAAAATCGTTATTCTGACTTAGTAATGGTCTTAATGGTGCGCTCACTTCCGCAAATTTTGGCAAAAATTTATGCAAATTGTGCATTGAACCCATTAGTCTTTTCCGGACTCACGGCGCGATGCCACTTTCCCCAATTCGATATCCGAGCCACTCCCACTCGGTTTTTGCAAATTCACATTTTCGTAATTTCAACGAAACGTTAGAAACGTCCAACTTTTTAAATATTTTTTCTACTAACGCAATATGCTCTACTTTAGTTTCCTTACAGGCAATTAGAATATCATCGATGAAAGCATTTGCCTGGGGAAATTCCTTAAGTAAATTATCAATGAATTTTGGAAATTCCGTCGGCATCGACGTGAGCCCGTAAAACCGGTTTTTAAAACGATAAGTTCCCGTCGATTTCCCGCCGACTAGTGAAAAGTTGCATTACTCGCTTGTCTTTTGTTCTAAGTAAACTTGTCCGTATGCGTATGTGAAATCCAGCGAGGAAAAGTATACGTCCCACGCTTTCCTTTCTGCAATTATCTGACTTATCCCGTCTACTAGTTCGTCAATATTTGGCATTTGGTACTTATTCTTGTATAACTGTTTGTTCAGTTCTCTTGATTCTAATGCCAATTTTATGCTTCCATCTTTTCTTACTGTGATTACTATAGGAGAGACAAAATACTTATCCGAGCACTCTTGTAATTTAGTGATATGACCTTCGTTTAT